AGCACCGTTCAAACCAGCCGAAAATCGTACTATTTTCGGCTGGTTTTCTAGCGTGCTCCCTAGACAAAAGACGTGCGACCGTACAGTAAAAACGGTCCCACGTCTTCCATACACTTTGCGATTATCGTACGATCGCGGGATTTCCCTCGATTATCGTGCGATAATCGCACAGTGTATGGGCACCTTAACTCTTTATAATCTGACCCCCCTATGTCCTCTTAAAGGAGAACCATCACAGATAGCAAGCAATTGAGTTGCAAGTTTGAAAATGACTTGCTAAAGTATTGCAGACTTGCCAAGCTTCACAATTTTTTGCACAATTACAGCAAATCTCCAGATCAACGTGCTTTGCAAAAGTGCTGTACACTTGCAGAGCTCTCGCTAACACCTGCAGGACTCTTGCTGTAGACTTGCCAAGCAAATTTGCTACAAATTCAAAAAGTGTTAACTGCAAGTGTTCTGCAAGTCTACAACTTGTCAGGAATGTGTGCAGCAAGTTGACGAGAATTACAATTTAACCCTGCCACAAGTGTGTGGCAAGTTATCCTTGCTATCTGGGATGGGGTTAGGTAACCGGAGGACATAAACTAGCGTCCTCCCGTCACCCAAAGCTCAGGATACGGCGAGCTACAGCTCCCGGTATACTGAGACGCCGCAGCTGAAACAGATCCCGACAATTATGTCTGGATCCACCCAGCTGCGTGAGTGACAGCTGGCTCTGCCTATCTAGAGGCAGAGCCAGCTGTACCCGCCCCCTCCCCCGTTCGTTCCGCCTGTCAGCGCTGGAGGATCGGACAGGGGAGGGGGTAATCCAGTCCCTCCCCTGTCACGGCTCTCTGCAGTGAGAGGATTGAGAAGTGAGCAAGCGCCGGTATGTGTTAGCTCACTTCCCGATCTACTGAGCCGACCTGTAACAGTTTCATTGTCACAGGTCGGCTAGAACTATGAGGATGAGTGAAAATCACTCACCTCATAGTTCTCCTTTAATGGCAAAGTACGTTTTTATTTCTTTTGTTGATATCAGTCTCATTTGGTTTATCATACCTGAAGATAGGTCTCCAGAGCAGTCCACATTTCCCATTGTTCTAACTTGGCTCCATTCTCCAAATATTGCTTGATTCGTGCTTCCCTTCTGTTTGGCTCTAGTTCAGAATGGGCTCGATCCCTTGAAATATTCAGGATGGTTTCATGTACATAGACTGACCAGAGGTTGCATGTTGCTTCTGTGGTATGAGGGGGAAATTCCCACATCTTTCTTTGCTGATTGTGGCCAAGTTCATGTACTGGTCCCCAAAGATTAGCTTTCTTCATAGGCTGTATAGCCACAGAACTGGTTAGGTCATTTGCTGACTCTAAATGGAACATAATTGGATATCCAGCATGCATCCAACCTTAAGACAAATTTCACCAACTTAGTCATTGATATTAAAATGTTCTTCACCAACATAGGTACAATGTTAATAAAGTTGCAGAAAGACTGAAGTTAATTAAACTCAATTGATCACAGCCCAGCTGTAATGACAGATCAGCTTCCCCATGACATGATGGCCAGTTCCGCCCAGTTGTTATTCATTGGCCGGGACCTGCTAGAAGACTGTAGCAGGTGGCGGCCAATAGGAAACAGCTGTGCAGAGCTAGCTGTCACTGTTAGCTCCACCCATTTTTTTTTACAAATTCTTTTTTAAAAATATCTTTATTTATTTCACTATTTATTTACATTTTTAAAACAATTTTTAACTTTTTTTTCCCCTACAATTTTTTACTATTTTCTACTCTGCTCGGTACCACGAAGGTACCGAGCAGGTACCGAGCAGAATAGCTGAGCCGAATGCCGAATGTCCTTCTGCACTTCGGCTCAGCCGAACACGTAGGGCATGTTTGGCTGACCGAAGGCAGCCGATGTACGGCTGATTTCAGCCGCTATATGGCTGAAATCAGCCGTACTGAGCCGGAGTGAAAAGCTGTACGTCGTTCGGCTCTGTTCACTTTGGCTAGGTTATTCACTCGGCTGCCTTCGACAGCTTAGTGAATAGCCCTGTTAGTGTTTTTTATATACTTAGAACTACTTTGAGACTAGCTTTCTATAACTTCTTAATGATAAATACACAAAAATGTTAACTTACCAGCTGAAATCTGTACATCTGTCACAAATCTTTCTGGACGGGGAAATTTCTTAGGAATCACAGCTAGATCAGCAATAGCTACCATTATCTCATCCCACAGAGACATCAAAGCTTCTGGATCCTCTAGTGAGCGGATGGCTTCAGAGGGTACAGTAAGAATTATATTTTCTGTAATAAGCTCAGCCCAAGGAGCCGGATAGTTACGAATTGTTTGCAGCCATGAAGAGAGGCTAGTCTGACCTAAACAAGAATACAAAAGAGTTCTACTCTTATTTTGCAAGTGGTCAGAATTTATTTTAATTACCATTTAAACATTGATTGTGTTATCTTAGTATAACTTGTATTAAACAAAATGTCCAAAAGTGATTCGGTAACATAAGTTCAACAATCACCAAAACCACTAGCATATTTGCATCCTTGTAGCCTTTGTAATGGTGCACTATTTTAGTGTATGATTTAACCTAAGCATCTGAGATTTCATATAGAATTCATTATGCACACATTCTAGAATTATTATATTTAGACTGTGTTATCGCCTATTGGACTGTGTTTTTAAGCTTCTATAAGCTGTCACTTAGCTATCCATGGATATTAAAAGATGGTCTATCATTAGGAAACAAGTGGATTCCACCAACCCAATTCTCAGATACACATGCCTACTTACTGTACATATAATTGCGTCTATGGAATTTTAGTAGCTCCCTTGTCACTGCACTTACCATGGAAAACAACCACCTCTGCTTTAATGGAGAGGCCAGGGATTTATCCAATGTATTTATATTTAGAGTATAGAGTCAACTGTCTTTAAAGTCTTCCTATAATTGTAGCTTTTAGATGTCAGGCAACATATGTCCATAAGTACCTTTGCAGACCAGAGATCTTTAAACCCTGTAAAACTAATGATATGATCTTCCATGCACTATGTTGTAGACTCCCTTCTGACTAGTAAAAAAAAAAAAATCCTTTTTATTGTGCTCGTGCACGCTGCCCCACCCTATACGGCCGCACAATTGCTTGTTGTCAGCAAATGTGCGGCCCCCTACACCACTGCCTATCCCGGGATCAGCACGGTGGCTGTCTCAACAGAGATCAGAAGGAGTTCAGCACACTTCCTCCCGCTGATCTCCCCTCCGATCTCTGAATGCAGTAGTGATGTCTGTTATATCAGTTCCACCTGTCATTTCTCCAGCTTCTGTAGCCAGTGAGAAGCTGGTGAAGCAGCTTTTTTGGGGGTCCCTTGGTGACATAAGGGGTCTAATTGACTCCTGATGTCCCCGTAAAGAGGACCTGTCACTGCATATTTGTGAGAGCAATAATGTTAAGTGTAAAACAAAATGTAAGAATTAAAGTCACATTTTACAAAACTAAAAAAAAACACACAAACAAATTTTGTCCCCCAAACATGCTTTGAGTGCATCTACATGCGAAAACGCCCATTGCGCCGCACATGTTACATATAACCGCAAACGTCGGAGTGTGAGCAATAATTCCAGGGCCATCAATTACTGTTAATACTAACAGAGCAGTAAAATGCTTTTGAAGTGTCGCCTATGGCCAATATTGGGTATGGTAGTTTTTTGCGATTTTGCAGATGCAGGCAATTTTAAGGCTTGACATGTTTGGTTTCTATTTACCTGATGTGGCCACATTTTTTATATTTTACCAAAAAATTGGGTAATAATAAATGTTTCATAACATAATGTAAGGAAAAGATTTTGTAAAAAATTTTTGGTACTTTTTTCTTTATATAGTAAAAAATAAAAAACTCCAGTGGTGACTAAATACCACCAAAATAAAGCCCTATCTGTCCCAAAAAATGGTATAAAATTAATTTTAGTACAGTGTTGCATGACTGACTCAATGTCAGTCAAAGTACCGCAACGCTGAATACTGAGAAATGGCCTGGACAGGAAGGTGGCTTAACACCCCAGTCTTCACGTGGTTAATAACACACTCTGATCGGTAGTTTATCTAGTGGTAAAATATGAACCTATAGACCCCCCCCCACATCACTTGTATTGAAAAAGCTTTGGTACTACTTCTGGAGAGTTGCCACTGGTGACTGTAATACTTCAGGGTCTACAACTGTGTTCTTGCTGGATGGAACTGACTGTATTCAGCTTCTTGAAGATTTCAGGACTGCTACATCAATGACAATTGTCTACATTAGTGCTGCTTATTCTCCTAGCTTCTCTCATGGAATTATTGCTAATTCCTAATAAAAAAATTGCCATTGTTCTGGATTCTTGGCAGTTGCTGTTATACTAAGGGGCTGATATAAAAATCTTCCACTCGGTATAAAGCTGGGCTATTCACCTCAGTTCCTGGCGGAAATGCTATTCAAACAACATTCACCCAACTTTATGCTAGGTAGAAGATTTATACATCAGCCTCTAAGTGTCTTCTTCTTTCTGCTCTTAGAGTATAACAGGTACTATCCCATTTTCTCCCTTTTTGGGATTGTGGGATTGACAGAAACTGCAATAACATATTTTTGTTTCATACTCTCACTATGTTGTCAGTCATCTTAAATTGCATAATCTGGATTTTGGGCAATAAATCCATTTTCCTACTGTTAGGTCTAGTTCTATAAAATTGAAAGCTTCCCAAGTCATAAAGGGATCCCTACATAAGCCCATCATTTTAGCAGACTCCCACTTCACTTAAGTAACCATTGCAGTGTAAAAAAAAAAATCTTTTGTTTACAATCAAAATGAAAACCTTGCTAGACTCGGCTTATTCCTACTTTTCATACTTACCCTTAATAAATGTTGGAGAAGGCTCTGCTCCATACACCGAAACTGGAACCATACCCAGATGGCTTTGTGCTTTAACAATAATATATAAAAGACCTCCCCATATACAGGATATTTTCACTTTTTCTCCGAGAACATCTTTTTTATGAACAACCACAGGAGCACGACAGAACTTCTCTGCTTTGTTTAGGTCATCTGAGTGGCAGCCAACCTGAACCTGAAAATATATAAGTATAAATCTAATGGATACAGAGAGGCTTTTGTCCTTTAAAATGCAGCAATATATTGCACTTTTTGTTCTCAGCAGACCTTATTTTAGGTTAATTCACAAATACGAATATGGTCTTAAGAGCTTCACAAGTTTCCCTGGAGCTTCTCTCATAGGATCAGTGAAGCTGTTCTGTTTTACATTCTTTGCTAGGTGTCCTTTCCTACAATGGATGTATAATGGAACTTTATGAATAACATTTTCCGAAGTGGTAGTGACTTTTAATGCTATAATTTTTTCCAAATTCTCTGTAATATGTGATACTTTTAAAACTCTTTTTAGAGTGTGTCAAATAATGCAACAAACAGAAAATTCAGGGGTAATACAAAGTCTAGATCTGGGAACTGAAAGAAGGGACAGTACAAATATGTTTACAACAACTCATAATAACATACCTGGAGACCTTTCCCAGCAGCTGATGCTGGAAACATTAATATTGCAGTTTTCCCAGGGGGCAGAAACAGTCCAGTACTTCTCCATGCATCAGCACCTAGGAGTAATGCAGTAATTGTTTGTTAATGTAACACAAATCTTACATAAGTGGAGACACAGAGATGATACATTTTAATGCTCTACCTGGGTTTGTGGCATCAATCTGTACTGTAACAGGATGCTGGTTCAATAAATCAATGTCACCTTCTCCCTGGTCATCCAGACATTCAAGGCAGCTGACTTCTTGAACCAAAGAAATGATAAAAGCCTCATTGGAGCTGTTTTTCACAGGACATTGTTTACTGACAGTGGGTAATTGACACCTTTTTACTAAATTTACCAGTTCTTGCTGTAGAGATGAGATAAGAGGGCTGGCTGGAAGCCTCATAAAAGAAATGGCATCCTGTCTAAGCTTGGTTAACCAAGAGCTAAGAGGTGGTTTCAGTTCCTCTTCATTCTTCAGGATGCTCAGAAGCTGGCAGACTGCTCTAGTAAAGTGGTATGTACTATTACCTTCTTCGGGGTCCAAAGACTTATAAACTCCTGCCTTAACGGTCTCTGCTAGAATACTAATTCCAAACTTGTTAAGTATTTTATTTCCTGGGTACTGAGAAAGCACATTTGGATTTGATCTGGACCAGTACCAGGCATGGCCAGCAATGAGCAGGCCTCCTCCTTCTGCTACAAACTGCTGGATCATTTCGGCTTCTGCATCACTGTAAGAAGTGCAGCAATACACACTGAGATCAGGAATCAATTCAGAAGCCACACAAGATAAACCTTCATTTTGTAAAACAGCGAGGAGATTTCCCAGTTGGTTATGAACACCAATTTTTCCATTTCGGCCCATATTCAGCCAAGAAACAGCATTGAGAATGAAGGTCTTCAGTTCTGGCTTGGAGAGGTAGCTTTCATGTGTCCCTACAACAACGCGCCCGCTGCCGAAGTAGGCAGCACCAAAAAAGCATTGATTGTTGTTGCTGACCCCAACTGGAAATGTTAGAGGCCCATGAAGAAGAAGGTCTGAAGGGATATATTTTCCACTGATGTCCAGGTCACTAACACCTTGCATAAGATGCTTTAGATCCTCATAAAAATTTACACTATATAAAAATAAATCAGACATATTTGTAGTCATTAGTTTTAAACACAGTGTGAAAATAATTATTAATGCTAATCTCAGGAGGATTATAAGACGATTCAAACAGGGCACCTATTTAAAAATTGCACACAACATGTTTTTACATTATATACACACGGACCTACAGTATAAAATAATAATGACTACCAAATGTGGGCTCATCTGAGAGCAAGAAGGATCATGATGATAATGTAATCTAGAGTGTGGTTTGTTGAAAAGGGACAATAGACATACTGTATACACAGTGATGGAGAGGGGTTAGTAAGCAGCCCTGCGGTATATTGAGCACCAGTCCAACTTTTTAAACTGGGGATGAGCATTCTGTAAATCAAAGTAGAAACCTTCAGATCCGCTGGTAAATCTGACCTTTTCAATGATCTACAGCTATTGCGAATCACTCCACTTTCCATGAACATAATCCTCAATAATGGCAAGCGAATGATACAAAATTGAAGTCCCTTTGAATCATTACCCCAATGTTACCAAGAATGGCAAGATTACCAAATAACAGCAATAATATTTATATACTGGCACAACTGTTACAGAAGATAGGCTGTAGTGAATAGTTGCTATTTTTTAAAGTAAAACACCACTGAAAACATTGTTTATCTTGTTTTAATTAGCCAGGGCTATAAATAACTAGAACCTCTATCAGGTTTTTATTGTTTTCTGAATAAGCATTGGGGAATTTGGGGGAACCTCACAACAATAAAAAAAACTGACAGTGATCCCCACAAAGAAGCAAACCTTCCAACTCTATTTTGGCTGGAGTTGCACACTGAGGAGGTCACAGAGATTCTTATATGTTCAAAAGTTCTCTTATTTATATCACCCCTTTCAGGTGGCCAGTCCAGAATACTGCACTTTGCATGTTGCTTTCAATGAGTAGTTTCTGTGTGTGATCAGGATAGATATATTTTTAAGGATTTACAGATAATAAAACGTAGTACTAAATTATTATTAGAATTCAGTGTATAACATATTCATAGGGTACTCACTCTGTATGCACTGGGCAGCATGGTATGTTCTCACTCACACAGAAGTTCCCCTTCTCTCCATATTTGTCAGTGAAATACACTCCGGCAACCGATGTTACTTTGTTCCCAGGAAAATTCCACAGAACGTTCTCCTGTTTGTTACATTGAGACCAGTAGCAGGCTTGAGCTCCAATAAGCACACCTCCACCTTTTCTCAAAAATGTGACAATATCCTGTGCCTGGCTGTCATCATATCCAATCGTACAAAACACCCCTAGATCTTTCTTCAGACCAGACACCTTTTCTACCCTGTGTCCAGAGGAGGAGAGAGTCTGCTCCAGGTGACTTAGTGTGCCATTAATACCAATGACTGCTTCCACAGATGGCTTCAGCCAGGATATAGCATTCTTCAGGAAAGCCATGAATTGTGGTTGGTTTAAATAGGACTCATGGCTCATGACCACTATTTTACCCTTCCCATACTTAGAGGCAGCCAGGAGGACATGTTGTGCTGGAGTCACTAGCACTGGAAAAGCCGTGTCACCAGTCAGGAGAAGCTGACAGGGGACCCCATCCTCAGAGAACTCCAGGCTACATAAGCCATGGACAAGTGAACTGTAGTCTTCTTTAGCTGTCATAGCTCCTAAAAAAAAAAAAAAATGTGATCAAATAAATGAAATCAAAAGTTTGACGTTATATTTGTCAAAGAGCAATTAAAGGGCTAAAATAATTATTTTGACTTGGTGTAAATGTAAATACTGGTCAATGTCCATCCAGAATAAAGACTAGGTGCATCCCTTTATAAGGGCCCAAAACTATTACAACGTTAGCTCATTGCATATAGTTCTTTAGCAGACCTTTAGCAACATTGTGATCCTTATACAATGGAACGCTGATACTGGTTGTCAGATTAAGCAACATGATATTGGACAGCTGCAGCTTGTTTTTTTTTTTTTATAAATTCTTTTATTTAACAAGTTTTTCAAAATAACAAACAAAGGTTGTAACAGGGGACACCAAGTCCCATCGTAAAGGCAGTGGACGCAGCCACCGAACACATACAATACAGGAACAGTAACATCAGAACAACACTAATGGCAATAATAGTGGTAATATCTCCAGTAACCGAACTTCCGCCTATGGGTAATTGTGATTGATGAAGAGGTCTATCAAGGACCCACCGGCTCTGCAGCTTGTTTTTGATGGATGTGTTACATCCTTCATCAGGGGATATGGATATTACTCACACTTATGGCTTATGTTGGACTCTCCCTTACTTCAGCCTAGTAGTTTCCCTTTATATGAGTGATGAGAACAATGAAGAACATGTATTGATAAGCAAAACAAAAATTTAGCACATAAGAAAATATGTGGTAATCAGAACACAACTCATATCACTGCATGTAGGTTGTCTGCAATTTTACCACATACATTATGCAATTAAATTATATCCCCCTGCTGTAATTGCACTGATTTTGCTGCAAATATTAATGAAATATGAGAATGTCGGTATGTGTAATAAGCTAGCACTTTTTTATAGTGATAGCATTATACATACCCAGGTGTAAAGTGTAATAATGGCAGGTTTAATGGGAAAGACAACAAATATTTTTAAGCATGTATTATAAATGTAAAACTTACTACAAAGAAGCATGATATAGGGCCCATTCACAGGTTACCGTTCTGGTGGGTTTATGTCACATGTTAACGTGTGTTACGTTAAGGCATCCCGATAAAATAAATAAGCTTCCAAAGAGCCAGAGCGGACAAAAACAGAAATGCAGCATTTTTTCTGATTATTGTTTACTGCATTTTTTTAAAATCGGGGGCTAACATACTTTCTGCAAGATAGTTAGTGTTGACAGGTTCTAATTATTATCCCAGGTGCCTACTCTGTCTCTAGCAAATGCATATTGGGGACAGAGTTCCAAAAACTAGAGCAAGGACAATGACACTATGATCCCAATAAGTGTGTTTTTGGTAGGGTTGTTGGTTGCAGAGTTACAGACACAGGACCACAGAAACAAATCTGGCTAAGTCGCTGCCTAAGAACACTTTTAAAAGACATTCAACCACCAAATTGGAAGAGCTGGGCCTCAGAGAAAAATATAATTTACATGTTAACTGTCTGAGGGCAGGTTCACACCATTTTCCGGACCAGATGTGGCCTGGAAAATGGTGTAAACCTGCATGCAGTTCCAGTGCATTCCAGACCAGACAAAATGAGACATGCAGTATTTTTCTGGTCTGGTATGGAACGGGCTGCGCTGGTGTGAACAAATGCCAGAAATAGCATAGGGATACATTAGGATGCATTTTAGGTCCGGAAACAGTCTGGTCTGGTTTGGAGATGATCTGGATGTGGTATGAATGGGCCCTTAATGAGTCTTCAGGCAGTTTTTCTCTAGGTCTGAATTGTGCTATGTCAGTTTTTACATGAGTTTTGGATTGCAACATATGTCGTTACTAGGGAAGAGCGCATCTGCCCAGACTCCATTTGTTGAGGATTCAGCTAATTCTGTTTGCAATTAGCAAAACCCAAACTTAGCGGCAAATACCATTACTGAATTATTGAAGACAAATCATTACCATTATTGAAGACAAATCATGTTAGTAAGTATTAGCCATTTTTAGGCCTAACAGATAAACTGCTGTCAAAAAAATGCGTTGGGCACTGCCATGTGGAACATGTACCAATGTAAACAAAATTTTTTAAATACCATACAGCAGGGAGAGGGTCTTTTTATGTGGCTTTGAGGGCAACATTAAAAATACACACACCCTTTAACGCTTTGCTGCCAGTGCCAATAGTGGCAGTTGCATTTTTGTGTGACAGTTCAATTTAGTGCAACTGTTTATAAAACCCATATTCTCAGTAAAATCACACGGGGGCAGGTGAATGACAGAGTATAAAAGGGTTCAGAGTCATCTTGAAGGATTTAGGAGAATCCAGCATACCATGGCCCTGATTGTACCATCCGTCTGCTAATTTGAGAAGTAAAGTCTACAATTACCAGAATTTGTGTATGCTTGGAGAGTGCCATCATAAGTATATGACCGAACGTACCTACAGAACCGCAGGAAAGTAATCAATATCAGTATGCTAGCTGCCCCACCCTGTATCTCATAGTAGAGATGTGGGATGCCTATAGACTTCTGGCTATAAAAACCCCCTCAAGATATACCCCCATGGCTCAACAAAGCCCTGACTGAAATTCATCAACTTGGGGTTTCCCCTTTGTGTAAAAAGGCTCATATTGATACCATATCCTCTTAAATCCTTTCAACAGCTCCACACAGAATTCAAGTTTGGCAATAAGTCCTTTTAGCAATACCTGTAACTTCTTAAATTGTAGGGTATCTGCCCCTCCCTCCATCTCAAGTGGAAGGTGTGGGACGCCTCCCAACTTCTCAAGGGTATCAAAGATTCTCTAGATATACTGCCCTTTGGCACATTAAAGTCCTGAATGAAATTCATTAACTTAAGGTTAATGAAAAAGGCTCATATTGATACCATATCCTCCTTGTACAAAGATGGGGTACTTAAATCCTTTCAACAACTCCACACATAATTCAAGCTTGTTAATAAGTCCTGTTATCCAAACCTGTAGCTTCGGCTTTCCCTGCAGGCACAGGACAGATTAAACCATAAGAATAGCCCCTATGACTTTGTTTTACACTGTGGTTGAAGTGGGCAATGCCAAGGGCCTAATTAAACAAACCTATCACCATTTCCTAACTAAACAGCTAATGCACTTTCCTAAACTAAGTACACGCCATTGGGAACATGATGTGGATGCCAACTCAGAAGGACCAGTGGAAGGAGATCTTACAGATGCATCTCAGAGTATCGCTGTTCCATTCTGATAGATTTACACAGTTATTCATTCACCATAGGACATACCGCACACCCAAGCCCCAATTCCACAAACTACATAAATAATACAATGGCATAAATACAAACCAAACTCTGAATACAGTTTTTGCTTTTACTCTGTAATGTAAACCTATTACATGTATTTTGGGCTATACTCACTCAGGGAATCTAGATATGTGTAGTATAGAGGCTTCGAAAGAGCGTTATTTCTTGCTAAGAAGCTGATTGCTAGAAAATGGGTTTCTCTGTCCCCCTTTACTGTTGAGGAATGGTTGAGTGAGATCCATAGTATGTTATCTTTTGAAAAACTGACAAATGCAAGAAGGGGGGTGCCCAGTGAAGTTTCAGAAAATGTGGACCTGTCAGTTGCATAAAATAATGCGTTAATATCAGTTTAGTCTCTGATACTTGTTTTACAAACCACCGTGCAAAGGAATGGGGGTGATTCTGAGTTATTTTGCACTGCGGAGGGAAGGACAAAGGCAGTAAACAAAAATCCAAATTAATATAATAAATATATAATTGTGTTCGGTATAATGTTTATTGCACACAAAAAGGTAACTGGGATTTGATACGCTGGCATACTATAAATACATTCTGATGTCCTTCTACTCCAGCTCAGAAACTTGCATTTTGAACATTCTGTACTGGACAGTCTTTTTTCTAGATGGTTTTTATGCAGGTCTTCGGCCATACTGGTTATTTAGCATTCTTTACCACACTGTATGCTTTGATCCATCTTATGTCCTCTTTTTGTTTTGTTAAAAATACTATTTAAAAATAACAAATACCTAATTTACTAAAAAAATGACATAAATAAAAAAAGCAAGAAAAATTGTAAATTCACAGCTGGAAATCCTGGGAGATGTCACTGGCCAATTGGCAGGAGCATGGCATGTACAGATCAGTGGGTGATGACTGGATTATGTGATTGATATGGATCATCTTATTGGGCACCATGACTGATGTGGATTTACTTAGGGGGCATTAATAAACTTTATTTTTAAAGTGTATTTCAACTTTTGCAGCCAAATTAGGATAACATTTACTTTATATTGGCTACATGTTTCCATTCGCATTGCATTACTAAAAAAAAAAAACCATGTATTTAAAAATGTCTGCTTCCATTTTAAGTGGTTTTTACTTGCTTAAAAATCCTGCCTAGTTTCCCTTCTATGTATTGTTAGGGAGGGGGCTGCAGGAAGTTATGTTTACTCTAATTAACCCTGTCTGTAGAGTGCTGGCAGATTTCAATATCAGTTGTAAACTAGATTTGAACATTGCCTGTCATAACAAAGGATTAAAGACTTAGAAGGATTGCTAATTGCTAAAACTGAGGAAGATCAGTCTGTCCCTCAGTGTAATCCTCTATTTTCATTTTCAAACTGCTCAAACTAGCTTGGAATCTGATTTAAAATTTTCATACAGGCATGCACATCAACTTGGCACCTCACCCCCTTTGGAATTACTGTTAATTCCTAAGAGATATCATATGGGGGTTTAAGAGGCACAGAGAGATTGCATTATATCAAAATCACACTTAGTTTATTAAATCCAATGTCTCATTAAAATTCATATATAAAAATGTAGAAAAACATAAAAACAAAAGATAGTCCCCTTCATTAGTCAGCCTCTTGCAGCCACATTTACAATACACAATACTTGAGTAACAAATCCATCAATAATGTCCAGTAATCATATACAATATATAATTAATGTCCATTTGTATTAACACAAGCATTTCCATTGCGACACGCATAT